CTGATCTCCATTGCCACACACTCTGCCATGTGCCACTTTCAGGTCTCCTCACACTCCTGGTGGGTTCCATTTTGTCATAGGGTGCTGGCAGATTACGGGCCTCCCATTGCTGCTGCCAGGCCCGTAATCTGCCATGGGCCCCCGTACCGACTCCTCATGCTGCTGCCAGGCCCGTAATCTGCCATGGGCCCCCGTACCGCCTCCTCATGCTGCTGCCAGGTCCAGAGTGTCTCATGGGTCCCTGTACGGCCTCCCATTGCTGCTGTCTCCATCGCCACACTCTGCCATGTGCCACTTTCAGGTCTCCTCACACTGCTGGTGGGTTCCATTTTGTCATAGGGTGCTGGCAGATTACGGGCCTCCCATTGCTGCTGCCAGGCCCGTAATCTGCCATGGGCCCCCATACCGACTCCTCATGCTGCTGCCAGGTTCGTAATCTGCCATGGGCCCCCGTACTGCCTCCTCATGTTGCTGCCAGGTCCAGAGTGTCTCATGGGTCCCTGTACGGCCTCCCATTGCTGCTGTCTCCATCGCCACACTCTGCCATGTGCTACTTTCAGGTCTCCTCACACTGCTGGTGGGTTCCATTTTGTCATAGGGTGCTGTATGGCCTCCCATTGCTGCTGCCTCCACCGCCACACTGTGGCTCCACACTCTGGTTTTGGCCCCGTGACTGCCCAAATGAGTGAAGTGTGCGGTGATTCTAAGATCAACGGCACTCATCTGCATGTCATACTGACTGACAGTATTATTTCTCTTCCCCAGCAGACTCCAAGGGCATTTAAATTAAGGGTACAGTGTTCTGCACTAATATAAAGGCTCCCTGAAGCCTAGAAACACCCTTTTTATAAGTTAATTTCGCAGCGAATATATTCGCCTCAAATCGAATTTATTCCTCGAATTCGCCGAATCAGCCGAACCGAATTTTTGAATACTTCGCTCATCTCTAGTTATTTTCTACAAAGGGATTATGGGGTGGAATATTGCTTGTTAATATGCCTAAAAACACATTTTACCCCTTTCTGATAAAAAAATATGAGAATAGGGGGAATATCATGGTAACTCTTAACCTATTTCGGATAAGCAAATGCATAGAATTAGTTTTCTACGTGAGGATTATGGGTGCATTTTTGTGGATACACATGCAAGGATCATATTTCATCTATTTCTGAAATGATTATAGATATAGTTATATTTCTACATGGGGATTATGGGTGGAATGTCAAGGTTAAACATGCCTAGGAACACATTTGACCTCTTTCTGATAAGAATATGAAAATAGATATTTGTCTACATGGGATTATGGGTGTAATATCATGCTTAAACATGCCTAGCAACACATTTGACTTGTTTCTGATAAGAATATGAGAATAGGGGGATTATGGGTGTATTATCATTTTAGTTACACATGCCAAGGGCCATATTTGACATCTTTCTCCTAAGAAAATGGATATAGTTATTTTTATATATGGGGATTATGGGTGGAATATCATGGTTAAACATGCCTAGAAACACATTTGCCCCTCTCTGATAAAAATATGAAAATAGATATTTTTCTACATGGGTTTGTTTTGGTGGATAAACATGCCAAGGTCCATTTTTGACCTATTTCTGAAATGATTATGGGTTTAGTTAGATTTATACATGGAGATTATGGGTGGAATATCATGGCTAAACATACTTAGGAACACATTTGACTTGTTTCTGATAAGAATATGAGAACAATTATTTTTTTTACATGGGTATTATGGGTGTATTTACATGCCAAGGACTGTATTTAACCTGTTTCTCATAAGAATATGGGTATAGTTGCTTTTCTACATGGGGATTATGGGTGGAATATCATGGTTAAACATAGGAACACATTTGACCTGTTTATGATGATATTAGAATAGTTATTTTTCTACATGGGGATTATGGGTGAATGATTGTGGATACACATGCCAAGGACCATATTTGACCAGTTTCCCATAACAATATGGGTATAGTTATTTTTCTACATGGAATTATGGGTGGAATATCATGTTTAAACATGCCTAGCAACACATTTGACTTGTTTCTGATAAGAATATGAGAATAGTTATTTTTCTACATGGGGATTATGGGTGGATTTTTATGAACACACATGCCAAGGACCATATTTGACCTATTTCTGAAAGGATTATGGGTATAGTTATTTTTCTACATGGAGGGATTGTAGGTGCATTATTGTGGATACATATGCCAAGGACTATATTTGACCTATTTCTGATAACAACATATTTTTCCACATGGGGAAAATAAGTAGAATATCACGTTTATACATCCCACATAATACATTTTACCATTTTAGATAAGAATATGGGTAAAATTACTTTTATTTATTGGGATTATGGGAGCAATATCATGGGTACACATCCAGCATAAAATATATAACCCGTTTCTTATAGGATTATGGGAATTATTATTATTGTACATGTTTTATATTGCGCCAACAGTTTGCACAGTATTTCACAACATGAGGGCAGACAGTACACTTAGAAATACAATTCAATACAGGAGGAATCAGAGGGCCTTGCTCCTTAGAGTTTACAATCTTAAAGGGACAGATAGGTGATACAAAAGGTAATAATGGGGGGGGAATGAGCTGATGCATAAAATAAATGTATAGTTAAGTGGAGGAAGAGCAGGCTTCTCTGAAAAAAAAAAAGCCTAAAAGTGGAATATAATTTTTTTTTATGTGGGGATTATGGGTAGAGAATCATGGTTACACATCCCACGTAATATACAGTCATGGAAAAAATATTGGCACCCCTGCATTTGTCAGATAATGCACCACTTCACCCAGAAATTTGTTGCAATGGCAAATGTGGCATTCTCATGCGTTTCTTTTGTTTGTATTGGTACGACACAAAAAAAGTGGAGAAACAAAAAGCCAAATCTAACACATTCCACACAAAACTCCATAAATGGACTGAACAAAATTATCTGTACCCTCAAATTAGTATTTAGCAGCACACCCCTTGGAAAATATAACTGAACTCAATATGCTTCCTGTAACCATCAATGAGTTTCTTACATCTCTCTACTGGAATTTTGGACCACTCTTCTTTTGCCAACTGCTCCAGGTATCTCAGATTGGAATGGTTCCTTTTCCCATTTGCTGTTTTGAGATCTCTCCACAGGTGCTCTATGGGAATGAGATCTGGACTCATTGCTTGCTAGTTCATTATTCTCCAGTGGTTTGTTTGAAACCATTTCTGGGTGCTTTTTGACGTATGCTTTGGGTCATTGTCCTGCAGTAAGACCCATGACCCCTGACGGAGACCCAACTTTCTGATACTGGGCTCTACATTGCAACCAAGAATTCTTTGGTAGACTTCAGATTTCATAATGCCATGCGCACAGTCAAGATATCCAGTGCTTGAAGAAGAAAAGCAACCCTAAAACATCAGTGTTCCCCCACCATTGTGACGGTAGGGACTGTATTCTTTTCTTTAAAGGCCTCATTACTCTTTCTGAAAACAGTAAAATGATGGGCTTTACCAAAAAGGTGTAATTTTGTTTTGTCATTCTCCCAAAAGGGCTTTGGCTTCCTCAGGTAAGTTTTGGCAAAACCCAATCTGGCTTTTTTTAGGTTTCTGTGACAGCAGTGGGAACTTCCTGGGTCTCCTATCATAGCGTCTCTTTTCATTCAGATGGCGATGTATAGTACGAGCTGACACAGTTGTACCCTCAGCTTGAATTTGTCTGGAAGTTGATCGATGTACTTTAGCCACCAATCGAACAATCCTTTGTTCAATCTTTGATAATTTTTTCTCTCTCTCAACCATTTCCAGGGAGATTAATTACATTGCCTTGGCATTGTAGCTAATCTCCCTGGAAATGGTCCAGGGATCATTAATGCTCCAGGATCATTAAAATCTCTGGAGATGGACTTGCAACCTTGAAATTGGCCATGCTCTTCCACAATTTTTGTTCTCCAACCCTCAGATACCATTTTAAGTGGTTGCCGGTGAGATTGCTATATTTTCAGCACCTGTTAATTGATACAGGTGAGTTTAATTACAAATTACAGGAGCATTACAAACTTGGAATGCAATTATTTCTTACAATTTTAAGAAAGTGCCAATAATTTTGTCCAGTCCAATTTTTAAGGTTTGGCGTGGAATGTGTCAGATTCGGGTTTTTGTTTCTCCACTTTTTTGTGTCATACCAACACAAACAAGTGGAAATAAACATGAGAATGCCTAAACATTTGTAGTTGCAATGATTTTCAGGGCAAAGGGGTCAATGGGTCAAAGGTGTTACTAGACATGTATAACCATGATTTTCCACTCATAATCCCCATGTAGACAAATACATATACCCATATTCTTATCAGAAAAAAAGTCAAATGTGTTCCTAGGCATGTTTCAACCATTATATTCCACCCATAGTCCTCATGTATAGAAATAGCAATACCCATAATAATTTCAGAAATAGTCCAAATATGGTCTTTGGTATGTGTATCCTCAATATTCCACCCATAATCCCATTGCAGAAAGATAACTATTCTCATATTCTTATTAGAAAAAGGTCACATATATTTCTTGGCATGTGCATGTACAATCATCCACCCATTATCCCCATGTAGAAAAATAGCTAATCTCAAATTCTTATCAGAAACAAGTCAAATATGTTCCTAGGCATGTTTAGCCATGATATTCCACCCATAATCTCCATGTATAAATATAACTAAACCCATAATCATTTCAGAAATAGGTCAAAAATGGACCTTGGCATGTTTATCCACCAAAACAAACCCATGTAGAAAAATATCTATTTTCATATTTTTATCAGAAAAGGGTCAAATGTGTTTCTAGGCATGTTTAACCATAATATTCCACCCATAATCCCCAAGTAGAAAATAACTATGCCCATATTTCTTTTCAGAAATAGGTCAAATATGGTTCTTGCCATGTGTATCCACAATAATACCCCCATAATTCCCATGTAGAAAAAATACTATTCTCACATTTTTATCAGAAACAGGTCAAATGTGTTCCTAGGCATGTTTAACCATGATAGTCCACCCATAATCCCCATGTATAAAAATAACTATACCTATAATTATTTCAGAAATAAGTCAAATATGGTCCTTGGCATGTGTATCCACAATACTCCACCCATAATCCCCATGCAGAAAAATAGCCATTGTCATGTTCTTATAAGAAAGGGATCAACTGTGTTCCTATGAATGTTTACCATGATATTCCACCCATAATCCCCATGTAGAAAAATAATGCCAATAATTTTTTCATAAATTGGTAAAATATGGTTCTTGCCATAAGTATCCAGAATAATACACCCATAATCTCCATGTAGAAAAATAACTATGTTTTTTTTTTTTATCAGAAAGAGGTTTAATGTGTTCCTAGGCATGTTAAAAACAATATTCCACTCATAATCCCCATGTAGAAAAATAGCTTTTCCCATATTCCTATCAGAAACAAGTCAAATGTGTACCTTGGCCTGTTTACCATAATATTCTACACATATTATCCATGTACAAAATAACTATATAATTATTTGAGAAATACAGTCATGTCCATAAATATTGGGACATTGACACAATTCTAACATTTTTGGCTCTATACACCACCACAATGGATTTGTAATGAAACGAACAAGATGTGCTTTAAATGCAGACTGTCAGCTTTAATTTGAGGGTATTTACATCCAAATCAGGTGAACAGTGTAGGAATTACAACAGTTTG